ATGATTGTATTTGGGCAGATTGTGCGCGCGTGGATTTCGGGTACAATCTTTTGGGATAAGATTCGGTGACTTTGGTTTTTATTTGTTAAAGGTTTTGATGTGTTTGTTTTGATTTAATTGTCTTCTATTTGTTTTTATTTAATTGTCATCTATTTGTTTTGTTTTGATTTAATTGCCATCTATTTGTTTTGTTTTGATTTAATTTTCATCCATTTGTTTTATTTTGATTGTTTACTATTTGTTTGTTTTGATTTGATTGTTAGTTTTAGTCTCAGTGACATATATATATATATATTATATATATATATATGTATATATATGTATATATATGTATATATATATATATGTATATATATATATATATAATTATATATATATATTAATATATATATATATTATTATATATATATATATACATATATATATATATAATATAATATATATATATTATTATATATATATAGATATATATATATATATCTATATATATATATATAATATTATATATATATATATGTATATATATATATATACATATATATATATATAATAATATATATAGAGAGAGAGAGAAGAGAGAGAGGAGAGAGAGAGATTAGAAAATGAAAGAAGGAGAGAGAGAGATAGAGAGATAGAGAGAGATAGAGAGAGATAGAAAATGAAAGAAGGAGGAGAGAGAGAGATAGAGAGATAGAGAGATAGAGAGATAGAGAGATAGAGAGATAGAGAGAGATAGAAAATGAAAGAAGAGAGAGAGATAGAAAATGAAAGAAGGAAAGAGAGAGAGAGAGAGCGAGAGCAACAGAAGATAACAGGACAGACAAAGAGAGAGAGAGAGCGAGAGAGAGAGAGAGAGAGAGAGAGAGAGAGAGAGAGAGAGAGAGAGAGAGAGAGAGAGAGAGAGAGAGAGAGAGAGAGAGAGAGAGAGAATGAAAAAATAAGAGAGAAATCGAAAGGCATCATATGACATACGTTGGTCCACTGACGCTGTCATATGACTGACAACGTGGACGGGGGATGAGGAGGGGGGGAGCGGGGGGGAGCCTAAGTGGAATCAAATTAACAGCAAGATGACAGACAAGCGGGCAACGCCATGAGAGAAATGACGTTGCAAATAACTGGATTAACTAATAAATAAAAAAAAAATTCTAGGAGATCCGAAGCCTAACGTAGATCTCAGACCCCGAAAACGCAGACCCAATACCACTCAGACCCCAACAACGCAGACCCCAGACCACTCAGACCCCAACAACGTAGACCCAAGACCACTCAGACCCCAACAACGCAGACCTCAGACCCCAGCAACGCAGACCCCAGACCACTCAGACCCCAACAACGCAGACCTCAGACCCCAGCAACGCAGACCCCAGACCACTCAGACCCCAACAACGCAGACCCCAGACCACTCAGACCCCGAAAACGCAGACCTCAGACCAATCAGACCCCAAACAACGCAGACCTCAGACCACTCAGACCCCAGCAACGCAGACCCCAGACCACTCAGACCCCGAAAACTCAGACCTCAGACCACTCAGACCCCAGCAACGCAGACCTCAGGCCACTCAGACCCCAAACAACTTAGGCCTCAATTCACAAGAGACTTACAGCTAAGAACCCAGACCACAAGGACCTCAGACCCTTAACCTTTGACCCTAGATCCCGGACCCCAGACTCTCAGGCCCCAGACCAAAAAAAATCAGTCCCCAAACGGACCCCAAACCCCAGATCCCAGTGCCTTGACCTAAGACCCCAAACCCCCCAAACCCCCTAAAATAGACCCCAAACTTCCAGACCCCCAGACCTTAGACCACAAAAATCAGACCCCAAATGGACCCCAAACCCCAAATCCTAGACCCCAATCCCCCCAAACCCCCCAAAATAGACCTTCGACCCCAAACTTCCAGACCCCTAAAGACCCTTACCCCTAACCTTAGACCCCAAAAAATCAGACCCCAAACGGACCCTAGACCCCAGGCCCCAGACCCCAGTCCCTTGACCTAAGACCCCAAACCCCCAAAATAGACCCCAAACTTCCAGACCCCCAGACCTTAGACCCCAAAAAATCAGACCCCAAACGGACCCTAGACCCCAAATCCCAGTCCCTTGACCTAAGACCCCAAACCCCCCAAAACCCCCCAACCGCCCCAAAATAGACCCCAACTTTCCAGACCCCCAGACCTCCGACCCCAAACCACTCAAACCACAGACAGACCCCAGACCCCAGACCACAGACCCCAGCACCACGTACCTCTCGGTTGACCTGGCGTGACCTCTGCAGGGCCGACGGGGAGGGGAGGGGGCATGACCTTCTTGTACCCCACAATGTCGACGAGGAAGGAAGAAAGAAGGAGAGAGAGAGAGAGAGAGAGATAGAAAATGAAAGAAGGAGAGAGAGAGAGAGAGAGAGAGAGAGAGATAGAAAGTGAAAGAAGGAGAGAGAGAGAGAGAGAGAGATAGAAAGTGAAAGAAGGAGAGAGAGAGAGAGAGAGAGAGAGATAGA